GTATCATAATTATACGATTTAGTTAAATTAAAACATAGTAATCTGTCAAAAGACAATTTGTAAAGGGTGCCTGTTTGTCTCCATAACAGGATAAAAACAGAATGAAACGGAATAAAAAGAAATCATATTCAAACAGGATATCAGAGTTGCGTCCCTTGGGCACTTAGAGATCGTGATTATTGTTTCGAATCCCGGCTCACCCCGATTGTTCATAGGTTTGTCAGCACCATACCCGTGTCCGTGAGTTTCTGCAAAGTGATACACGGATGTGACCTGCATCATGTTGGACTTTCCTCCCACACAAGGCTGACGCCCCGTGATATAGCTGGCATACTGTCAACAAACCCAACTCACTCACTCGACTGTCTGGCATTTTGAAGGCTCTCTCCGCTCTGGCGTATCTATATCTACAATGATACCTTATTATGTTGTTGTTGTTTTTTTAACCATGACGCAGGTGATTTATGACATATGTGATTAAACCGACATTTTGGGTTAGAATCCTGGAACAGCCTGATCATATTTCTCTGTCCGCACCATGCCCGTACTCGTGGATTCTATGGACGTGGTAAAGGTCCAAGACCTGCATCCCTGCTGACCTGAAGATGAAGAACATCTTTCATTCCATGATATTATAAGATGATCTAAGATCGTCATTATTTATCGAGATTAACGGCTAAAATATCCAAATTTTTAAACCCGTCAAACAATGAGGAAAGTGTCTGTCTTTTTTTAAATGTGGGCTATATATGTCACTGCCAAAACCTGTTTTTTAATATTACACGCAGAAAACAATTGTGAAATGGGTAAAAAAAAATTATGGGTATTTATCATTTAGTTTTGTATCGTCTCTCATAACGCTTTATGAGTGGTGCTGTATATATCTTTATATATAAACTCTTATCTTAGGCGTAATGTTTAATTATGTACAGCCGTGAGGCAAAAATAGAATATCTGTCGCTCTGTCTGCATGCCTTTGGGCTTACTCTGTCATCAAGCTGCCAGACTGTGATGTGACTGAGTACTGTTGAAAGAAGCATTCAATCACTCTGATTGGCTGAGGTGATGGGGCGCAGGGCGTTATAGATGCGTGTCAACTTAGTATACCTGGGAATGAACAGAAGCTCTGTGTGTGTGTTACATTTGATGCATGGACTGTAATGTGTGGGATATATCCTTCACACAAAGCACAGGGACTGGAAGATATCCTCTTCGAAGTACCTCTTAAAACACGTAAACTTGACTCCCCTTAAATAAGGCCCTAAATATATCCCCTAAAACCTCCTACTTTGTATCACGCCGTGATATAACTGGAATACTGTTAAAAGCGGTGTTAAAACCAACTCGATCACTCACTTCTACTTTGTATCAGTTGGTTTACAAAATGTTCGGCCTAAAATTCTGTGTGGCGGATTTACGCAGTGTGCACAACCGTTTACACGTTTTGACTTCCATGTACCCCAAAACACATTGAAGTGAATTCTTATAAATACATACACGAACAATGAACACCTCACACGCGGCTTTTGTAACCACACAAACAACAAATGTTGGCAATATCGGAACACGTGAAAAACTGTTTCTATTTGCGTATTTATCGTTTGTTTACACGTAGTCTGTCATACACACCCTGAAACAAATATATCAAATACAGCAATTGCAAGTCTATAATGTTTGGCAAGTCTAGATTACTGCAGTTTTAGGAAATGAAGAAAGTCTCTGGCTCCTTTTTATTATATTTTATAACTATAATTTAACAACTGTTTTTTTTTTGCAAGATATGTTCATTTCAGAGACTAGATGTTAGTCTAGGTGACACGCTCAGACATCGAAGTCGTATGGAAAGTTCGGGTGACACCCCCGTTATCAGAAAGCTTAACAAGGTTGAACTGTACTGCAATTTACTACCTGCCTACCTCTTTAGTTAAATGGTATCACCCACAGAATCCCCACTTTGCAGTCATTAGTCAAGAAAAGAAGCAAATGAAACAAGAGTTCCCCTTACATATATTCACTTTTTCTTTATGAAGTTTGCTGTGGCGTTACTTATGAATTACCGTGTGGGGGGTAAGTCCGTCTTCTTTGGCAGTGTGTAGGAACGGGTTCAGGTCCTGTTGACTGTGAATTTCATGATCCAATCTTTCACTTCCCATATATTGTACCATTGTGTGCCCATGCAGGGAAATGTTTAGATTTGGTTTGGTTTGGTTTGTTGTTTAATGCCGCACTCAGCAATATTCCAGCCATATGACGGCGGTCTGTAAATAATCGAGTCTGGAACAGACAATCCAGTGATTGACATCATGAGCACCAATCTACGCAACTGGGATACGATGACATGCATCAACCAAGTCTCACCACCCGATCCCGTTAGTCGGCTCTTACGACAAGCATGGGTTGCTGACCTATACTCGGATCTTCGTGGATGTCTGTAGTATGAGGAACACAACGGAGTATATGCTTGCTCCTATGAGTACTCCTTCACCTGATGAAGGAGTTAGCATATACTCCGATACGTTGTGTTCCTCATAATAATGTTGACATTCATATATTTTCTCTTATGTGTAATTCTCCTTGATTATCCTACGTGCACCGCCATTCTATTATGGTTGGTTGGTTGGTTGGTTGTTTAACGCCTCACTCAGCAATGTTCCAACTATATGACGGCGGTCTGTAAATAATCGAGTCTACACCAGACAATCCAGTGATTAATATCATGAGCATCGATCCACGCAATTGGGATCGATGACATGCATCGACCAAGTCAGCGAGCCTGACCACCCGATCCCGTTAGTCGCCTTTTACGGCAAGCATGGGTTGCTGAAGACCTGTTCTACCCCGGATGTTCACGGGTCCCATTCTATTATGGAACATAAGTACAGTAAACTATGTTTATAACGAACACGCTTATAACGAACTGGCGGATATACCGAACTGTTCTTTTGGTCCCGGCCATTTGCTGTATATATGCTTATAACGAACTACGGTTATAACGAACTAAAAATTGTGGTCCCTTTGAGTTCGTTATAACCGTAGTTTACTGTATATCATAATGGAATGGAATACGCTTTATCACAATCGGTGATGCGGTAATAGTAATGAAGCAAAACGTGTACCAGGCCTCACATTTTCGCAATGTTCTCAGTGCATTATGGAAACCATGAATATATATAGCCATGTTAAATAACTGTTACTATATATGCATGTGCAGTGGTCACAGATGGCCATTGTTAACACAGACTGAAACGTTGAACTTACTTTCGGGATTCCGAATTAGATTAACATTCAAATTCATATTATATATTAAGTCATCACTTTTGTACCACTGTTAATTAAGTATTGATTTATACACCGTCCACATGCGCCTCTATATACATAGGTGTGCATATGTGTGTAGAAATGCATACGTGAGTATACTTGTCATGTGAACGCGTTTACTCATGTGTGTATATTTACACAAGGAGCAAATTTGCATCATCTCTGGAGCAGATGCAAATGTAAATGTAAAGTTGCACTGTGTGTATATGTTGCAATGTGAACGTTTATGTTAACGTAAGATGATGATCTAATTAATATCTGTTCTTTTGCCAACACCAAACACGTTGTCAACAGTTGACAACTTTTATGCGTATATACAGAGCTGAGCGGACGGTGTTTTCTTTTGGTTTCAAGGAGTCCAATAAAATAATTGAATAATTAAAATAATTAATTATGAAAAATTAAATCAAACACATGTTGCTTCACGCGAAAATATTCAGTGAAGTAACTCTCTTCTCATTCAGCTTTGTTTGGAAAACAACCTGTTTTGTGTTGAAAGTCGTCAACAGACTGACGAATATGTGTGCCTTACACAATTTACATACTTCATTTACACACCTATTTTGATTTTCATGTGAACGCATAGTAAATTTACATATACACGTATGTATAGTTACACATGTGCAAAATTACTTACGTTAGTAAATGTTGTGCATGTGAACGGGGTATAAGATTATGAACCTCCATAGTATGAGGGTCCAACTGTATAAACGTCGAAGCTGCATGACTTGCACAAGTCCCTTAGGCAATAGTTATTAGTTTAAATCATAAGTTCTAGATTATGTAAATAATAAGAACAAGTTATCGCTATTAGAGACTGGAGGCCTTGTACTGTCCACATATCTAGACTTGTCTATTAGGAGGATAGAATTACTACACGTCCACGGACTTTTCTTTAAGTTCAGGACCCGTGAAGATTTCGGGGTAGAATAGGTCTTCAGCAACCTATGCTTGCCGTTATAGATGACTATGCTTGTCGTAAAGGGCAACTACCGGGCTCGCTGACTTGGTTGATGCGTGGATCGATGTTCATGATATTAATCACTGGATTGTCTGGTCCAGACTCAGTGTCTTGAGTGTAAAAAGTAGAGCTAACCAGTTTCATTGACAGGGAGATTAGTGATGTCATTTGATTGTGACGTCGTGATGTCACAATGGCCTACATGAAACATTTTGATACAATTTCACCTGTAGTCAGTTCTAAGCAAGGAATATTGCATGTGGAAGTTAGTGTTGGAGGATAACTATACCAGCAGTCCTAATTTGTTTTCAGAAATCCTGTTTGTTTTCAATGCTAAATTACATTTCATATTCTAAAATTATTAAAACATTAATGTTAGCACGATTGCACAAAAGAAAAACAAACCACGACCCATCGAAACAAGTGATATCTCCAGTGGAATTAAGTCAGTTTGGGATGATAAATAATACAGCACTCAGCCGTCTTAATTTGTGTCCAGAAATTCTGTTTGTTTTGAATACCGAATTATATTTCATATTCTGCTATCATGGACACATTAATGTTAGCACGTATGCACAAAACCAAAACGAACGACGACCTATACAAGTCGGCGCGTCGGCCACTCAGATACTGTGTAAACAAAACGGGCATTGTCAACAATTGCACGTGACAGTTCATTGGTCACTGCCTCGGCGGTTACCTCCCTTTTAAACATGTTAGCTCTATACAGGCACAGATAACAACGTGGAACAGGCCGGCGAGGGCGCAGACGACAAGCATGGCGTTGAGGGAGAATGAGGGACAACGTGTTATAATTGTCGGCGGGGGGATCGCAGGCTTGACAGCAGCGTCACATCTCATCAACAACGGGGTGACAAACGTGACATTATTGGAAGCACAAGAGCGGCTGGGAGGACGGATTCACACTGTGAAGTTTGGTAAGACATTGCCAAGTTTCACCGACACATGTTTCCGATTTCCAACTATTATCTCAAATACGAAGACACTACTCCCTGGACTATATATCGATGTGTGATGATGATATATCTAGTTAACAGATGATAAGCTTAAACAGACTGTTGTGAAATCCGTAGTCAGGCTTTTCTTTAGACTTGCTCCAGTCTCCAAGGCAATAATTATTAGTTTAAATCATTGTTCCTAGATTATGTAAATAAAAAGAACAAGGAATCTCTATAAAGACTGTCGTACTGTCGGCCTTCCTAGACTTATCATTCAGTAGAGACTTAAAGCAAAGCTAGCTTGTCCTGAATGGACCCTCCTATCCTCCTCAGGTGTTGTGATTGTGCAATACTTCCATTATGAGGTATAGGACTGAGTGGTGGGATTTAGACTCACATCTAGTCTCTGAAATGAACATATTTGACAGATAAACAGTTGCTAAATAATAGTTATAAAAGATGATAAAAAGGAGCCCAGAGACTTTCTTCAATCTAGACTTGACAAACATTATAATAGACTTGCATGGGCAGTAGTATAGGTAATGATGGTTCTGGCTCACTTCCACTGGAGCTGGATTCATATACCTATACTGCTACTACAGATGGAATTTTTTATGCCAAAATGATTATGCGATTTAATGATAGTCATGAGATTAAGTTAAATTGGCTCTAGCTCACCAATACCTGGGGCCAATCATTGCTTTAGATGAGTCTAAATGGTAATAAAAATATTCTTTATTATTTTTATCGATACAGCGATATTCAACATTTTTATTAAGTTCTTCGTTCATTTTACTAGGAGACCAGACTATATAACTACACTCTTTTTGTAAATTGATAAGAAACAATTGATAACCGTATTTGGTTGGTTTGGCATCACTGATATAATAAAAACCTTGTGGTAATTCTTTCCATTGAATAGCTTTCTCCATTATTATATATTTATGTTAGCATTTGTCTAAATGTAATCACATGATAGTAAACAATCTATTTTTAATCTCCAACCAGTTCTTTGGTTTTGGCACGGAATAATTGACGCGCTTGTTGCCTCCCCTGTTCTATGAACTTTTTTTTCTCGTCTTCGCTAATACCACTGGTCTTACGAGATTTTGATCGAATCTCCTGCTTCATTTCATTGTATTTGGTGAGCTCCGACAGCACTAAACGAAACTCATCCTCGGATATCTTACAATCGGCCATTGCTGTCGAAATATGATCCTCAATGCTATTTAACTTTGCTTCGGCCAGTATCCGAATACTATCGTGTTTTAATGCTTTCTTTTGTAACCTACGAGAAATGAATTTTATCGCTATTCCTGCCAGTCCCGAGACTCCAGCGGTTATTTCCATGCCGAGCACGATTATAGTTGATAGTAAACCGATACCCGCTACACCGAGTCCCATGCCAGATACTAAAAGCACGGTGTCAACTCCGTCCAGAGCATTCACGGCTCTGCGATACTTTTTATACAATCCAAGTCTCAACTCCCTATCCTTCCCTATTCGATGTTTTATGTGGCTTATTTGATGTAATCGAAATCCATCAACAGTTTCCATCTTTTCAAATGCTTCACCGAGCGTCGGATATAAACTTATAGTGTATATTACGATCATATAATAGTCTTTAATTGGTCTTGCTTAAATGTTTTGAGACTATACATCAATCTTATCAAATGTATATTATACGGCAAGAATATCTTAGAAAGAGAAATACTGTCACTTTTAATAATTTGGACCCCCTCGAGGGTTGCAACGGGCGATGCTCCGATATGAATAATACTGCAACGTTGACGCTCGTGTTTCTTGAGCCATTTAATCGATAGACCTGGTAATATTTCGAAGGCATCTTCCGGTGCATCTCCGAACAAGACTTCAATAATAAGTGTAGAAAGATTAGGTATTGCACTCAGGTTAACTTTAATATCTTCGAATTCAGTAACCAAATTTAAAGTAACATTTTTTAAGGCCGGACGACTATATAACATATGACCTGGGTTTTCTGGCAGGGGAGTGACTAACACACTTTTTCATTTTGATGGGATATAAGCCGCGAGTACGATGCCACTATTAATTATCTTAGTTAAATTATGTCCCTTACCCATCATCACATAAGGTGGGGTAATGACGATATTCAGTAGCCATTCGATGTTTGCTTCGATCATAGTCCATTTATTATCGTCGTTGCGAGTAATATTGTACGAAGTGTTTTTAAGGAGTCTACTAACATCGACATCGCTTAAATCTCCTAGATTACCCGTGAATGTAACTTCTTTCCGATTGTATACATTATCGTGTAAGTGTAAAGCGTATAACTTACCATCGGTACCGGGTTTACCAAATCCTTCTGTGTCTCCGAGATCGGAAAGCGCAATTGTATTACATTGTCTTACTGTTCCAGGGCCTGATGCATCAACCATTATTTTTAATATGGAGTGTTACACTTAAGTATCCTATATGTACAGGTTGGTGTTTTACATCTAATACAGAAATTTTGAGGTCTGAAATAATACCACGCTTTAATTTTTTATATTGTAATGACGAGAAAGATTCCGTTCTACCGCTATTGTATTTTTCATTTTTCACTGGAACAGATCTGAGCAGAGTTGAAGGACTTTCTAGTTGAATATTATCCGTCGTGCTTATTTGATCAAGATGGATGAACAACTCTTTATAGGGAACTAAATCGGGTAATGCATCTCCATCAGATGTTGTCCTGAATATTGATAATATAAAGTCTCTTGATCTTTCTACCTGTGTAAATCCAAGTGTAATTGCTAAGTTCTCATGAATCCATATACCTTTTTCTCCAGTGCCGATTTTCACTATCCCATTCGACTCATTTTGGGTGATACTAATTCCATTAGGCTTAAAAATGTTATCATTGAGTGAGCATATATTGTAATACCCATCAGGTATATTAATGTTTTTTTCAATAATATTTTGTTTATCTGTTATAGACAACTCATTATTATCTCTCGCAGCCCTTATATTGGCCCACAGTGGGTAATACGTTACATCGCATAGGGCTACTTCGAGTTGACCATCCGAGTTATCGATAGTATGAAGCAGTTCAATAGACTGACCATTTGTTATTCCCGGGGGTGTAACATACATATTAAATATACAATGATACTATATCATAACTTAAATATGAAATCGAGATACATTACTAATCAATCGATTATAGTAACTGCCTCTGGTGCTGAATTTTTCGTTAAATTCCCAGATATCTTTGAAAATTACAGGGTCACGGCAACTAGCGATAAAATGGTGCACGATTGGTTTCACAATCCTATGCAATTTTGGCAGAATCAGTTAAACTTTGCCATATGGTGTGCCACAACGGGATGTGGCGTATCTGTTAATGCCCCAGGATTTATGCTAAATAAGTCTGTTTTATTATTTCACGTGTATTATCAGATTAGACGTATACTTAAAGAAATTAGTGCTCCATTACCGCAGGATCGAGCGTGGAATTCCACAAATAATAATTAAGATAGGTCCGCGTATGAGCGTATTTGTAATGAATTTAATGTTTCTACGAGTAAAGATTGGCGCATTAAAGGAGCAAACCATGGTCTAGGTGTTCCGTACAGCGGACAAAGAACTGTTAAAGAAGTCAGCGATGATTTAGTTAAAAAAACTCATCAACCATTCGATCCATTTAAATTCTTACAGATAGACAATCTTTTTGTAAGATTGCATAATCTTAATCATGGCTGGGAACTTTCGAGTAACGATTGGAGAGGTTCTCTTATGAGTTTTAAGGGTGGTTTGGCTTATATTGTTACAAAATTTATACAAATGAACGATACCGCAAACGCTTGGAATGAATTTCTTAATGATAAAACGGAAAATAATTTTACTAACCCAGGATTTGTAAGATTTAATGAATCGATAAGAACTTATGTATGGGCAATTCTCGGTGCACAATCGCAAACACGAACGTCCATTATCGGTTCTGGGACGGCGCTCGATGCGCAAAAACAGTTTGTCGCAAACGTGGAGGACGCCATTAATTCACCAGTTGACGTACCATCGTCTATAAAGCGTTTTCAAGATGCATTACAGTACGCTCAATCCAAAGTGGACTTCGTTTATGCGCCGGGACTATACATGTCTCCGAGTAATATGGAACTTAAGATCGGTCAAGTGATAGGCTATAATAATAAAATTGTTATCGCTACCGATCAACAAAAAACAGGTATAAATTCAGATATTAACGTCGAATTAATAACGCAAACGATCACGGGCGAAAAGGGAATAGTCAAGCCGCAAACACCACATGTTTCACAACCATCTACTAATGCTCAAACACAAGTACCACCGCATATTGCGGCTAAAAATCAACAACATATCGATGAAAAAACAGCGCTTGTAGTGGGTGGAGTCTCGGTTGGTTTACTCATGATTTGGTTAGCGAACTGATTTGGTGGTTAAATAGTTCTTAGCGAATACGTACAACAGCCCTGCAATTGCTACGATCAGCCCCCACAAGTTTTGACTAAGCCAAGTGGTGGTCTTAGCTAATAAATTCAATAGCCAGGAAACAACACTCCCTATTATACCGGGAAGTGCGGCCGCGGCTTTCTCAGCGAGCTTTCCCAGTGCTTTTTTATCCACTCTTTTATACCATTTTTATCGCTGGGCGGTGATCCGCCTCCACCTGTACTGCCACCTGTTAACGAGAGAGTCAAAGTCGATATAATAAATCCCAACGCGGTTAAAATACTGGCAATGGTTATTCCCTGTTCTCTGAACAATGTTTTAATTTTATCGGTCAGTGTAGTGTCATCGTTGAGGACTTGATCGATAGTTTCTCGAATACGACTGATTTGCGAACGAAGTGCCTTTCTATTACTGGAAGCTGCTTCGAGGCGGTCTTTCGTCTTCTAAGTTACGCAATCTTTTCGCTACGTGGCGTCTATTGAACTCATCGCCCGCCTGTTCGAGTTTTGTTTTCTCTTTAGCTATATGCT